ACTACCTAAAAAATATACCTTTTTTGGGGACGCAAGTAGTATGCAGCCTTGAATACCACTAATTTTTTTATTATAGTTTGTTCTTTGCCTAGTTTAGTAGTTCGCATATATTATATTTATGTACATTGTACCTACAATAAACTATTGTATTATAAAATATCTATGGACTATAATAGTGTTCACAATTGACACAGGTATGCGTCTGAACCACACATTATAATGATTAAGATATTATCATTAATAATTATATTTTTTTTATTTCCCACCGAAATATGTAGGTCCGCATTGAGTAATTTTGCACTTGGAACGCAGATTATAAATTGTTGGATTGAACTCCTCTAATTAATAATTGCCAATTCAAGCACTGCAAAAAATTGAAAAATGTTCATAACATTTATTACGATTTACGATATTCGTATTTTTATATTAGGAAGTAAGTACGTCGTACAGTTTATTGCAAAGCGATGTGCGTTGCCGTCTGCCATGTGCACACACAATATACATATTATGTTCATCACCTCCTTCAGCTACAGTGTACTGCTGTCTTCGTACGTTCGAATATTCGCACAGCTATTAGAGAATGTTTTAAGGGTTAGCTAGAATTTAAATTGGTATGATATAAGAAAACATTTTATAACAGCATTGCTTAAAAATTAAAATGGTGATTTGAAATCGAAAGGATCGTACAATTGGTTTTATTAATAAAAGCAAATTTCTTTTTTTTTTTAAATACGTACATTATATATTTTGAATTCTTAGTTTGTATACTTTAGTAAATAGTTGGCATATTTATAATAATTATCCAGTACCCTTATGACAATATTTTTTCTCAAAAGTAACAAATAGTTTTTTATTATTTATTAACTAATTATTAGTAAAACACTTTGTTCGAATCTTGTGTTACGACTGTAGTCTGTGGCGCTGGAATGTTTGATTAGACTAGACGAGTACAGATGTATTGTATTCATTACTTACGTCAAATACAACGTAGGTATTACGAAGATACACATTTCGACGAATTGCTTGGTAGTCTGAGGCAGGCAGGGAGGTGGTGGCAGTCGACAGATGTTGTTTTCTCCCACTGTGTACAACAAGGCCTCGCACTGCGTAAACGAAATAAATGCGTAGGCCGTAGGGGAATAGGGCCGCGCAACCACGCGAGAAGCAGCCGTCGTGATTCCAGATTTCAATATAATTTTTCATTAAAAAATAACAAGTTTGCAGGTTTCGTTTCGAACGAACTTCATTCCTAATAAAGATGATTTTTACAAAATATTCATCTGCACAGTTTTCTTTATGTTTTGAAATTCATTAAGACTACTGCTTCAGTGTTTCGAGATAATAATATATATATATAATATATACAATACACTGTCGTGTAACGTATATATAATATATACAATACACTGTCGTGTAACCGCTATATTATATTTTTTTTTGGAAATCACTTATCAGTAAAAACGACCAAGGAAATAAAGAACAGGGAAAAAATTTACAAAATATCTACTTTGGCATATTATAATGTTTTTCCAGAACCTTTTCAGGTGCAATTATTATTGGCTCTTGGTTTGAATATTAAGATAATAAAATGTCATCTCCACATATTGTGTTGTCTGTCGTATTATCGTATAACATAACAATGTTCAAAATACAAATTGCTTTATTATTAAAATTAATTGATGTATTATCAAATTTTAATGCAAGGATATTATCTAGAATCTCACATATGCTTATTTTTTTATTGTAATTTTGAATCAAGTTATGAGCATTCGGAGATTTACAAAACAATTATATTAAAAAAAAAGCTTATGTAGAGCCCTAGATGGCCAGAAAGTATTTAGATAACCTTTAGATGTAATGATAGATTCACACCTTCATTAAAATAATATAAATTAGATGGATTATTGTGAACATAACATTTGCTTTGTTGTGCATTAGTCAAATATTTAGACAACATAATATTATGATGGTATATTGTACTCTTAAAATATCTTAATTAATTATCCAATGTTTTTTTTAGAACACTATACATCTATAGACATATATATATATATTATATATATATATATATATATATATATATATATATATAATATATATATATTATACATATCAGAATTGAAGATTATGTTTTTCCTAACTTGTAATTAAGGAAGTAGGTAAATTTGAAAATACATTTTTATGAATTACATTGATATTATGACTGAAATATGTATGTAATATAATCATTAATCGCTAATCAGTATAATATGAAGTATTCATCATTGGGTCTGGATAAGTTTCTATTTAATGGGATTTATAGATACCTCGAGAATAATAAAATACATTAAATTGAATAACCTACAAATAATTGCTACTTTTAAAATTTTGGTTCACCTCTTAACATTTAATGTTTAAAAAATGTTATCATTTCTACCACAATAAAAGTTAAGAGAACCTGACTTATAAGATGTCATAAAAAAAATTGGTTATAACACTTTGTATGAAGGAATTTTTAAAAACAAGCAAAATTAACATGTCCCAGAATGACCTTGATAAAAGAAATGTCATTACTGTAAGTATTTAATTTTTTATCAATCACGTGAGGTAAGTGATCTCCCAGCTTCATATATTTTGCATAATAAATTATGTATAGCTATCTAATATTTTGTATGGCTGTTAATTATAAGTTGATCTAAATATAAGGGTTAATCATAACTTGTTTCATTGAATCAATACGCTTGAATTGTCCGCTAATATTGATTGTCATGTTTGGCAAATATATATCCTATGTGAATTTATCTGTATTAATTATTATAAAGTTGCATGAACCCACATTCCTCTTTCAGTAAATAATTCTGCATAATAATATACATAGTAGGTACTAGATACCTATTTATAATCTATTATAACAAAATATAATGTTATGACTTCTGAAGATATACTAAGTGCGTACAAATAATTTAATTTCAACTACAAAAGCGTGTGCTGGTCTTCGTATAATATTATTATTAGTTGTTAAAGTTTAATTGTTTACATTGTATACATGTTACCTATTACCAGTTTTGCTTGCAGCATGACAAATTAAATAGGTATGTCAGCCACTCCTGATACTCATGTCTGTGATGTAAGCATTTCTCCAATTGGTGGAGTGGTGCTGGAGTTTTCGACGGCGGTTGACCGATGTTACGTACCTATGTATTTACTATGTACAACGTAAAGCACAATTCTAGTAGTATTAACAATATAATTAATAAGGCAATTAATTAATATATTATAACACGCTAGGGCCATTGTAAAAGTATAGTAAAGAACAATTAAGCCATAAAAATGTTGACATTTATCTCCTCGGGAAAGCCAACACTCATACTGAAGGATACGAGTCAACCAGCATACCGAGTACGAGACCCGAACTTTGCCTCATGACCGAATTTGGCCACTACTACGACCATCCACTCCAAAGGACTTGATCATATATATACCAGCCTAGGACAAGAGCTCGTCAGACGGTTAGGGATACCCAAGACACTTGGAGGCAGGTTGTAAAACCACTCACAGTCTTAGTATCAATTCAGAGGCAGGTCGTAAAACCACTCACAATCTTAGTATCAGTTCAGAGTCAGGTCGTAACACTGCTCACCTCTCTACCTTAGCTTATATACATTGTAATTTTGTACTTAAATAAATACTCATCATAACCTATTGCATCAAGTATTCATTTCTGCTTTGATGTATATATCTAACTTTTTAACATATTCATTTTATTAAAACTTTGTAAAACCATGTTTATAGTGATAATAATTTATTCATAACACTATAAAAGTATTCATAATTTCAAATTTGTCAAGTTATTATCATATAATTAGAGAATCAGCTATCACACCTTACCATAAATTGACAATTATTTTTAATTAGATGTATGGATGTAATTGTTACACATACCCACCAAATAGGATATAAAAATATAATTGTTTTTATCAAACAAAATGTTTGGTAGTGGTGATAAATTTATTTGAACATTTATTATTATTAAGCTTTACAAACGGCACTATCTTAATTAAAATATTACTATATATTATATTTATATAATATTATGTATACATAGGAATCACAATAATCAATTAATATTTAAGTATATTGTAAAAAAGCTATGATATTTTAAATTCAAATAACATTAGAGAATGAAGAACACATGTAAATAATCAGTGAAAAAGGTAGAATAATGCACACCTTAGATATTAATAATTACCAAATTAAAAATAACATTACAAAGAAAATAGTTATAAAAAAGTATACATAAAGTTATTGCCAAATCATTATTGATTCATATAATTAACCTTAACAATACATCAGCAACAAAGGTTTAACTAAAAATTATTATACACTATTAAATAACAATATGTAATATTATGTTCCTCAGAAAGTAATATATTCTAGTTTAATGATTTTAGATATTTTAATCATATTAATCATATTATTTTTATTTATAAAATAATTAATACTTACAATTGTTTTGCATATATATTAGGTACTGTAAAACTATTTACTTTTTAATGTTTATCATTCAGCCATAAACTAATATAACAATTTTGAAGCAAATCTATTCATTGATCTATATATGTGGGTATATTACTTCTGTAATATAATTTGGAAATAAAGACATTTTATTGCTAAGAGTTGTCAAGTGTCTAAAACCAGTTTATATATATATTTTTTATCAAAATGTAAAAAATAACGGGTGTTTATCATATTCATAGTCTATAAATATAATTTTTCTTATGAAAAAATGAGTAACAGGAAACATTTCCTTTTTTAAAATTATTAATAATCCTACTTGAGTTTAAAATTATAAATAAAAATAGTTTGTATTATAACATTAACTATACATAAATTAATGTATATAATTATTTGAGTAGATGGTAAATTTATGGAAGGAGCAATACATCTCCTAAAAAGTAATTTTGTAATTGTCGCGGATTAAGATTCATTTTGTAAATACAAATAAACCATAATTTAATAAATTAACGATATGAAATATTTAAAACACCAGTGCTGGGCGCAACATAGTCTCCAATCATTAAACTGTTGTTAACTGGATAGTTTCCAATAGCAGTGGTTGAACCTCCTGCAGCAGCTGTTGCTGCCCCTAACAAAAGTTGTTGATTTTGGTTCTAAAAAAGTTATGGTCAATTAAAAAAATAAATAATAAAAAACGAAATTACTAAAATTTTTTGAAAAATATGTTTTAAATTGGGAGGCATACATTCAATAATTCTACGTTCATATTTTAAAACTAACGGGCAATTAATACTTAGTATTACATTTGGAACATTTGCTTTACAACAATAAATCTACTTAATATCTACCTGGTTGGAAGTAAATAAGGTTGGGGATATACCACCGCCAATAAGTTGTGCTCCTGCTGTAGAAGTAGCTGTGCTAACACGTTGTCTTCCAGTACTACTTATAGATCCTGGGTGAATATTTGGTTGAGGTACAGTAACTATTTTATAAAACAAATTAATTTATTTGTTTCTGTTATAAAAGTTATTATTTTATATAACATAACAGTGTTTACTCAATTACCTAAATTTATAAGATTTGAATTGTTGGCAACTGCAGTTGGAGATGTTTGCATATCCATGGAAATGTCTGTAGCATAACCATTCAATGGAATGCCATTAACCATGTTTAAAGCTATTTAAATTAAGTTTCATCACTGTTAGTAAGATTATGATACTCAATACTATTATAAAAAATACCAGATGTAGTACTTTGGAGATCCAAGTTGGCCCAATAACTTTCACTAGGTGATATAGTATTGACACCGGGAGGAGGTTGAGGCGGTTGACCTGTATACCGAAAGTATGGGTTTTTAAGATCCAAATTGTTGGAAGAACATGTATGTGGAAGTCCGTCAATCATTAAATTTATGAAAACATCATAACTTTGCCTAAAAATATATTAATTATTTTTATAATATGATATAGAAATGAAAATTGAATTACTGAATGATATAAGACTTTAATATACTAACCTCACATTAGCTTGAAGTGATACACTACCAGTTAAGATTTGACCAACTTTAACAAGAATAGGCTTTTCTAGAAGGCACCTGACTTGATACCAATGAGTTAAAGATTCAGTAGGTGAAGTAGATAGCCACAGAGTTTGGCTGCTACCTTGAAATGCAACATCAAACCAAAAAGCTAATCCATGAATAGTTCCAGATTCAAGTATATAATACTCAAGTGGAATGTCAATTTTGTGTAATTGTTGTTCAGTAGCTGTGAGAAAATCTAAGCTATGTTTGACAGACTTTGCAAGGCATATACGAATATCAAACGTATCAACTATTGGCTGTCGGAAATATTCTCTCATAGCCATATCTCGTAATGAACTTAAGTCAACTCCATGAAAACACGACTGAACCCTTCAAATAAAAATTATAAATGAGATTATTATAAAAACACCAACCTTTGGAAAAATATATTCAAATTATTTGTGTATCTAATCCATTTTGAGCAATACTAGCTATACTCTATTCAAAATAAGAGTGCACCGGGCGCAAACACCGCTTCAGGCGGGTTCTGCTACTATATGCACAGCAGTGTTGATGGTAGCCAACCAATGGTAATCAATCCACCGACCACAGAACGATTAGACATTGCAAGGGGGTTCAGATGTGGTTATGAGGCTCATTTGTACGCGCCAAAATAGTGTACTTTTATTTGGAATAGAATATAGATATATTATAACCATATATTTTACATACCAAAAGCTGGCTTTATTTGTTTGTTCCATAAATAATGCATCATCAGTGAATGGAGCTATGTGCAAATCCCCTTTACTAGGATACATTTTCCCTATAAATTATAAATAATTAATATCAACAATAATACAATTAATATATAATAAACTCTATTTAGTAATTGGTTAAAATAATCTGTAGTAAAAATAATATAAAATGTTACAAAATATAAATTACCTCCAGGTTTTAACCACTTTTTAGCATGCAAATAGGTTTCAAGCATACGTTCATTGTAGAGCATATATCCCATTGGTTCTGATATAATAACATCTACTTTTTCAGGTAAATCGATTTCTTCAATTTTACCAGCAACAATAAAAACCTTGTCTCCTAAATTATTAGAATCCACCAACGTCTTCAAATATAAAAATTAAAATAAATGAAGAAATAAAAATTGAATAAATAATTATTATTTTAAATTTGATATTTTATACCTGAGCATGTTGAGCCATTGAACTTGCTTCCACAGCATAAACTTTTTTAGCACCAGCTTGGACAGAAAAAAATGATAATATTCCTGATCCAGCGCCTACATCTAGTACTACTTTGTCTTGAAAATCTATGGTATTGATAAGCACTGCTTTTTGATAGGTACTTGTGCGTATATAGTCTTGTAACATGTTTTGTTGTTGAGAAAGATATCCATAAAACTGATCAAAAATTAATATATTTAATATAAAAAATAATAATAATATTATGTTGTATAATATTTTTTACTTGGAAATATTGTGCAGCTGATGCTTCATCAGTTCGATTAGAAAAAACTGAGAGATCATTTCCTTTTTTAGCACGATCCAGCAATACAGTGAATTCATATAAATCTAATTTAAACATATTTAAATATGTAATTATTTAACTTCATAAAATTTCTTTTTAGACTTATATAAACAATTTCAAAATACTTTACCTATATGTGTTTTAAACTTTAACATATATGAATGATTATTCAACTGTATGGCATATGTATCTTTGGCAACTTTACAATAGTCTACTGAAGAACTGGGGGTAAATTCTACAATATTCTCATTGTTACCACCTAGAAAAAATGTATAATTATTAGTTGCAATTTTCAAAATATAAAATCATAATAGAAATGTTGAAGTACTATCAAAACCAGTTTCATCTAACTTATATTGCTTAATAACTATTTTTTGGCTCTGTGAAAGTGTTATTTAATAATTTAAAAAAGGGTGAATATTTATTTATTTTTATAATTGTATTGTGTAGAATGTAGGATGAGAGAAATTAATATTTATAATAATTAAATGTATCAATTTAATATAAAATTTGACTATCAAAAATAAGATGGTATTATAATAGGTACACTAAAACATAATAATTTATAATAATTAAATGTATCAATATAATATAAGATTTGACTAACAAAAAACAATATAGTCTTATAATACACTGAAAAGCTGAGCGGCAGCAAGCAGCCAACTAATTTGTAATTTAATAATAATAATAATAATACACTTTTATAATGACGTTTGATAGTTACCGAAATGTTTTTGATGCAATAATTTTACTACAACATTATTGCCACAATATTTAGCCAATAAAGTAACTTCCATATATTTATTACTTTTTATAAGATTCAACTTTTAAATCTAACTTTTGTTGACTTTTGATTTTAAATTTAAATTTATGATAATATAGTTTTATTAGTTTCAATTATTATTGAATTATATCAAGTCATATTTAATAAAATTGATAAGGTACAAAATAACTAAAAAAAAAAAACTGCAAAAATAACTTTGCAAGTTTGCAATAAATTTTATTATTTTCTAAGAATGATTAAAACAAAAACTATAATATAGGTAAGAATCATTTCTATAAAATTGACTAATTCACTATTATCCAATGTATCTGCATACCTTTATTATTAATACGGTATGATATATTAGTAGTTACTTTATCATTAATCAATGGTACATTGTACATTAAAGGGGTAGACTTAGTGACAGGATAATTTATTGTAAATTGAATTTGTTAATTTCTATAATAATTAACAATAGTAGGTAAAATTTTTCTGATTTTGGATCCTGTCCAAAATCTGGGTTTTCACTGTAATAATATTATATAGGTAATAACTTTTTTGTAATATTATGATAATATAAAATATATTTGTAGTTTTTTAACCCCCTATCATTTAAAAATCTTGTTTGTGCCATTATTGTCTATAGGCTATAGCTAGAGCACAAATGTATAAGAATTTGCATATATTTATGATTTTAACTGCATATTTTATCTGTGCAAATTTAGGTGTTCATTTAAAAATCTTCAAAAAGTTTTTTAATGCTTATGTACATAATATAATATTCACGCTTAACTTATAATATAGCTTAATAATAGTAATGAACTACCTAAATAAATAAAGTAAACTTTTTGTGGATTTTTTACTAAATTCTGTTTGCTACAATTTTTCACTATTGTAAAATACGTAGATTATTTTATAAAAAACAATGTAAATCTAATCTAATAAGCAATAAACTTATAATCACTAATGAGTAAATTAGCAAAATATTATATTATATATTAATACCTAGTTAAACTATTTGTGTTTAAATTAAACAGTTAGATATTATATTTCACAGTTGAAAGTGACCAAAGAATACCAATCTATATTTGTATCTTTATTTATCTCTAAAACTGTTTCAGTTAATTCACTCCAAATTTAGCAAGTTCACGCTATATCAGAACACCATTTGGTCCCACTTTCACCCCATATACAAGTGAAGGGTTATGGGGAAAAACGATAATAGTCAATATTCCTAAGATGTTCAGTATTGCAGTTTTAAAGTGGGACTCTGGCATTTTTTTCCCGTTATGGTAATATTTAAACCTGTATTATATTATTGACTGTGATCTTTTTTCCATAACTCGATTCACATGTCGATTCATTATGAAACTAACCAAAAGGTACTACAATTATCTGTTTTTTTCTTTCTTTTGACTATGATTGTTTTTCCCCTTAACGCTTCAAGTATTTAAACCTAGTTGCTACGCATTTTATAAAATATGAAATCGCAAAGGTTATTAATTATTAGAGGTTGGATTTCTATGCATTTGCATATATGTACAAAGTGTATGCACGTCTAGGGGGTTCTAAAAGGGCCGGTTCATCTCACACTGAATTTAAACACCAAATTTTATATTGCATATTTCGCATATTTAGAGGATTATTGCATATAACATGCATATTTAATGGGTTTAATAAATTACCTTTTTTAATTTAAGATAAATATATTTTAGTAATTTTAAAAGAGAAAAAAAAACGTCGACAGGGGATTTTACAAGAATATTCTTGAAATATTGTCATTTATGCAATACTTCATGAGATCGGAGCACGAATAGATAATATTATATTAAAAACAATAAATCACATACACCCGCATTTCGGCATACTATGTTGTTACTTCAAATAAGACAGTAACTCAATTTTACAAATTACTTTTATAACGAATAATATTTACAGATGATTTATTTTTTTTTTATTTTAGAGTTTTAGACATTGAATTTTAAACAATCTAAAATATGAAAAAATAAAGATTATAAAATTTTGCATTTTGGTTTTTAAAGTATTAAATGTTTAACTATTTAAATATTCTTTTATTTCTGATAGAATATCTAGTAGGTACCTACTTTCCTTGGTGTAAAAATGTGTTTTTTTTAAAGAAAAAAATCACATTTTATAATGTTTAACAGATCGCATATAGTTGCACATTGAGCTACCTTTTCATTGCATATTTTTATCATATTTGGCACTTTTTAAATGCACATAAATCCAGGCTCTATTAATTATTAACTTAAATGTTTACCTGTCTGGTTGTTAAAATATGAAATTTCAGTTACAAAATGAGTAAAAGTTTAAAAATATTTTAATAAGTATATCTGTATAGGTAATATACTAATATATGTATAACTATGAATACAATGTAAGTACCTACCTAACATTTAAAAGAAATATATTTTGAACTTATGAAGATTTTATCCTATTAAATAGGTAAAATAATGTAAAATGAAATATTTTCATTATCTCCTACAACTTAACAAATTATTAATAATCACCTAGTAATTGAAATTGTATCCCCTGTGATGCTGTTCCACTATTCATGACACAAGTATTGGTAGTGGAAATGTAAGCGGGAGAGTATACGACACCATCATCGGGTGCTTCAGTGTTGATTCCGGCATTCAGATCGATTTTCACAATTTGTATCAATGCCAGGCGTTTGTTATTTATTTTGCCAGTGTTGTTGGTCTGCAGTAAATTGACGGCCATTTTTCAAACTCAGGTGCTGCTGGATAAACGAAGATCAAAAACGAGCGACAAACAGCCAAAAGAATGTTCCCTGAGTCAGAACAAAACCAAAAGGTGGACGGATTATTAATAAATGTGAACAAATGTTGTAGTTTTTTGGTGAAAATTAAGGGGAGAAAAATATGAGTTGTAAAAGAAACGCTGACAGCGGCCGAGGACGATTTCGTAATTCGTACTGAGCTACATTTTAAAATCTCGACGCTGACTCAAAACGGTACTAAGGTTTAGATAGATACCGCCACCGTCATATAGGGCAGCCAGGAGATGAACGACAAACGCGTAATAAAAAAATAATACTTACTTGGTTGGTTGATATTAAACGGAAGAGCCGGGCGGCGAGCGGTAACGGACACGATGGACCACGTCAGACGAAAACACAGTTACCGTTCGTATTTTACGTGGTGTCTGCTGTCCGACCTCGTAAGGGTCGGTGATCTGCGGGAAAAATCCAAAACGGCGATAATAATAATAAATATTAAATAATAATATTATTTATACTGCGGTCTTGTGCTCGGAGTGTTTGTAATTTGTGTGAGTGTATGCACTAGTGTGTGTGTGCGTGCGTGTGTTTGCGTACAGTGTGCACGCGCAGTGTGTGTGTTTTGTGTGTGAGCTGTGTGAAGTAGTTTGGGTTTGTGTTTGGGTTTGTATGCTAGTGCGTGTGCGTGTGCGCGCGAATTTGTTGTTATGGCGCTCGTATTGTTCGTAGTGATAAAAAATTAAAAAATAGAAATAATAATAAAAACTGAGAGCAGTAAATTAAATAGACGAAGGGATTACGGATTGTATAGATACAAAATATGTACAGAGGTAGTGGCAGGAGTTATTGACTGTTATTATGCTAGACACTAGACAGTATAAATTATAGGCACTTGATTCCGTTTTGATAAACGGCCATGTTAATTACTATTATTTATTATCATCGCTGTCTATCATCGTGTCGAATAATCGCGGTTGACGCTACCACAGATTATATAAAACTATATAATCTGTGACGCTACCAAAGAAAAGATAAGATAAAATGTAGACGGCAATATTGATGAATAATATTCAAACACACTCGCCGCCGAACCGTGTGCCGCGGTTCTCATGGAGGTGGAAAACTGCCGGGGCAGCAGTGGTAGGTAAATACGGATGGAAAAAATTCGAAAACGACGAATTACTATGACTACCTACCCTGCGTGAACAAAAGATGAATCTACGAAATGTTTCGTCCAGGTTGTGTGATGAAGACATATTATTTTATACATGATATACTCGTATATAATATGTATTGGTATGGATGGACCATGGACGTATCACAAAGGACGGGTGTTGTCCCTCCCTCCAATATAATGTGTTTGAGGAAGGGGTATCGGGGGTGTGATCACAACAACGACGGTGGTTGTACGCGTAATATTGTGAATGTTTAAATTTCTTTGTCAAGTGTCATACACGTTTATAGGTATAGTATAGACCATACTAATATAAGTACTATACACACGGCCTTTATCAACACTAATTTTTTTCGAATAGCTCAACTGTTTTTTTTTTTTTTTTGTTCATTGATAAAGATAATTTAGACATTAAACGAATATTTGGGGATGACGTTGACGTATTATGTAATAACTTTTATTTTTGCTCGTTAGTTAATTCAAATATTAATTCAATTTACTTTAATTTGTATAGTATACATAATTTCAATAGTATTGTACATATTTCGTATTTTATTTATAATTTAATATTTTTTTCTCACAACTAGTCAGGAAAACCTATTGGTAGTTAAAAGCCTTATATTGTGTGCAGTAGGTACCTATTATAGGTAGAATTGCGGAAAAAAATCAGCTCACTACCCAAAAAAAAAAACCTAGTAGTATTTAAACTGGGGATTAACTTACTTAATTGGGAATACATAATATATTAAAAATAATAATATGTTAGTAAAATAGTTATAGTTGAACGTCGGCAATTTTTCAATAATTTTAATTTTAAAGCAAGATATGAGCATTTTTTATTTGTAATATTTCATATGCCTATAATTGCTTACCCATATCTTGCTCGAAAAATTGTTATTGAAAAATTGATGATGCTTAAGAGGACGGCCTCTCTACCCATACATTTGTTGTCTTACACACGCACGACAAAGCAAATTGTCGTTCACTAGTTTAAATAGTGTGCTGTTAGTTTTGATACTAGAGTGAATTAACCTATTATAAAACTTTTATTTAAGAACATTATCTGTGCTTAAGCTTAGCCAATTTTTCGAAATTTTCATTTTCAAGCAAAATATGAGTATGGGAAGTATTAAAAATTAAAAATGCTCGTATCTCACTTGAAAATTAATTTATCGTATAAAAGCGAACTCTTAAGCACGGATAATATTATTATCTAAAAAATTGATAATAGATCAAATCACTCTAATATCAAAACTATCAGCACACTATTGAAACTAGTGAACGAAAATTTGCTATGTCGTACGTGTGTAAAACGGAGACAACAAATGCATGGGTAGCTTAGGCCGTGTTCTCACCAAAAGCAACTAATGACGGCAACGCGATAGAGATTCGAGTCTAGTTGTAGTTGAGTTGCCCAGTTGTTCTCATCTAAAAAATTAATATGAAACTTCAATGCAACTTCAATGCATACACCCGCCGGTTCTATTCCATATCAATGGAATACTATAATTTAATTTAACTTAATTTAATATTTATGTCTTATTAGTTATATGATTATTATTACTTTTAATTTTACTTCTTTAATAAATAATATGAGAAATCTATTTAATATTGTATCTGTATGTACCTACATTGTTTATACAAGATTAATTAGTAATTACGTTTTTGATTTTTTGACAACTTACTAGAATTGTTCATTTTTTTTGAAATGTCGTTCCATGCTTTTTCTTTTATGTCTTGTCGAGTGTAATTAGATGATGTTACATCATAAAGACATGGGTGACTTTCTATAAGTTGTACGAATGCCATATTTTCTTCTTGTTCATTTGCCATATTTGCCATATTTTTTAAATAAATTATTAACAAAATATGAAATTGATTATAAACCAGAGTAGGTAATAATCAAATAATTGAATTATTCACAAAATCGAACTATTCACTAGCAACTAGACAAAAGAGACTGACACGTCGAGTTGCTCAAAAATAGTTTTCAAACAGTTGCGTTGTTTTCCAGTCCTGTTGCGACCTGTGAGAACACGTCAATTTAATAATACATGTCGCGTTGTTATTATTAGATAATGTTTTCACTTAAAATGTTTTTTAACGACTTTAAAGTATAAAACAAATTTTGTCATTCCATATATTATTTTTACCTAAACTTGGTATCAGAGCATTGTACCCGAATTAACCGGATCCCCTAATAACATCCATAAAAACCCTTAAAAAACAAACACCTGAAACCCATATAAAATATAACCCAAATAATTTTGTTTTTTACAATCTTCAAGTAATATATCATTTTGTATGTATTTCTTGTGGTGAGTTAGATTTTGTAGTTAATACTTAATTGTATGATAATAATAATAAATTAACAGGAAAAATTTTACAATCAATCATTTGAAAATAAAATCATTAATTGATTCCGATTAAATCTAATCACCTAATGGCTAATACTAAATTATTTCTTATCCCTATGTATATAATTTATTACTGTCTGTATATAAAATAAATTCAAATATAGACATGGTCTCAACAAAACTGAACAACGCATTAATTTAGTTCTGACCAAAATATCAAATACTAAAAACTATTAATAAGTAATAATCACAGATATATAATTATATAATTAATACATACAACTAGCATTATTTTGCCAACCAACTTCCCAAGCGGTATTATTATAATTTAGTAATGAATATTGTAATTCATGGCTATATTAACCAGTTTTCCGGAAATCGCATAATCATTTATATTCTTATATTAATTTATATTTTATTTAATTTCTCTACGGCTAAACGCCTCTATAGCCTACCTATTAAAAAAAATTTTCAACTCAAGGGGCCTTGCTACTGCCGTTAATTTTAGCTGAAAAGACCTAAAGTATTGACAAAATTGAATTTAGTTAACGTTGTCCGATTTTGATTCTAACTTTGAACTCACCAGAAAATTGTCTGTAGATCCTACGAAGCACTTTGTAAAAACTAAATTTTATATTATTGTGAACTGTAACTGAAAACTTGAAAATATGAACTTTTTCGAATCATAATTAAAATTAAAATTAATATTAAAAACTTAAAATGTTTAGTACGATTTACAGGCATTTTTCTGCTAAATTCAAATATTTTTTCAGAATCAAAATCAGAAACGTTAACTAACTTTAATTTTGTCAAAACAAATGTATGTTTTTGTAAAATTCGTGTAGTGAAAATTATATGGTTATAGAGTTATTGAAATGCTCATGCGCGTAGTACGCAAGAGGATCTCCGTATTTAATTTAATTCACACTAATAATAATTTACAACTAACACGTAGAATGTAGATCCCTTACAGCTATGAGAAGATTAGGAATAATGCCTAAATGTTGCCCCTTAAATAATGACCGTAGAGAGCCTCTTAAATCCGATGACTTGGCAAGTAGTAAATAAATAGGTACCTATATAATTTATTTCCCATTGTCTTAGTTCTTGTAGATTTTTAGAAAAATTCAAAAATGTAACTATTATAAGGGGCCTCTCTACGGTCATTATTTAAGGGGCAACATATAGGCAATTCCTAATCTTGTCATAGCCGCCCGGGATCTATGTGTTAGTTGTAAATTATTATTAGTGTGAGTGAAATTAAATACGGGTATTCCTCGCGTACTCGAATGCACATGTCAATAACTCGATAACCATATAAATTTCACTGCACGAATTTTACAAAAACATACATTTGATTTGACAAAATTAATGTTAGTTAACGTTGTCTGATTTTGATTCTGAAAAAATATTTGAATTTAGCAGAAAAATGTCTATAAATCGTTCAAGAGTTTTCAAGCCTTCAAAAGTTGTGATTTTTCTAGATTACTGAACGCTTACAACTATATTACCCAATATTATATCGGTTATCAAAACCCGAACGTTTATTTAAATTTTTTATTCCGGTGATTGAAGTGTTTGAACACCCGAATACATCCAGGACTCGAAACCCAAAACCCAAATAAATGATTCAGGTGCTAAGCCCTGCTTGGTATCTTGGCATACATATTTACATATACATATATTATAATTTATAAGACAATTTTTAAAATAATTACATTTTAAAATGAAATTTTTTGGCAAAAATGAATTTAACCTACTGTTGTAATAATAAAATAAATTACTTCAACCACATTTATATCATCAAATATACTTAGTAATTGCATAGGCCGACAGAACGCTTTAACCCAGAATCGTTTTTAGCATAGAATGATTTTACATCATTGAATTCAAATTTAACACCATCCATTACAGCGTGACTCACTTGTAACCTACTGTACAGTAAATCGACACCCACTCAGCCGCTTTTTTATTATTATTTGCATACCTTTTTTTTTGTTTTTTTATTAATTATTTAAGTATATAAAATAATTTAAGTAGAGTGTAGATTTTAGTTAAATAAGATATTTTGTTGTATATAATCTTACAACTATAGGTTGGTTTGAAATGTACTCAGATATATATATTAAACAATTCAGAAGTACTAATCAATATGTACACTGCCCTATTGAATGCTATTTTTATAAGCAAAAAAAAATATGTGAGGTACCTACACCGGTTTTAGATATTACTGGTAACTGGTAAAAACACGAAACATATGAACGTAAAATATACTGAACATCAGTCATCAACTATACATAAACTCAGATTATACACCAATTACCAAATATATACATATAAGTATATAACACATTAACACACCAAGAATAAAAGTGTCAGTGTTTGGAAGGAACGAGTTCCAAAAGGAACGGATTCCTGGAACGAATTCCTTTTTATAAAAAAAAAACGAGAAAATGAACTAGTTCTTTTTTACAAGGAAAAATAACAAAATTGTTAGTTCCCTTCTAGTTCCAATAATTTACACAGATAAGTATGTAAATAATTGAAATTAAGATACATTTTTTTTAATGTGTATAATGTATATTGCTAATTAGTGATCGTTATCGAGTATCGACGTTAAGACAATCTACATACGTAAAAAGGTGCTCTAGGTATAGTAGGTTACAAGTGGGTCTCTGTATAATGGATGGTATTAAATTTGAATTCAATGATATAATATCATTGTATGAGAAAAATGATTCTGAGCGGAGACGGTATGTCAGTCTAGGTTTAAGACAAATTATATACATATTAATGGTAATAAAAAAAAATATGCACAGTCTTATCATAGAGCATACTTCTTATTCATTATACTATGGTAGATTGTATGGATAGGCCATAATATTTTGATTTTTTGATTTTTTAGTTTCATATATCCCCGAATAATATTTTTAAATTACAACAAAAATCTAAAATCGTTAATATTGATTTTAATATGTAATTTCGTCCAAATTTGAACTTAAAATGACTATAAAAATAAGTATTTTTTAGTTTTTTTGGTAACAGAATCAACAATTTTTAAACTGGAATCTTGTTTTAAATTTTCAATCCTTAGATATAAAAGTTGAACATTTTATACATTTTTAACTACAAAATAATTATTCAATTTTAAATTTGATACATTTTGTCAAAATTCGATCTTTAAATGCTTATAAAAAAAATTGTGAGCATGTATTTTTAATATTTTTCAACTGATATTGTAACAATATATCAGGAGCCTTGTATTAAATTTTTACACTTTTTGGCCCAACAGATAAAACTTTATTGATATTTATAGAATAAAAAACAAAAAAATTGGAAACTGAAAATGTCCGTAAACAGCTCAAAAAGAGTCAAAATATTTTCAAAATTGTATGGTGTATACTGTTTAGGAAATGCTAATATAAATATTCAGTGCAATTTTCATGTATCTACAGTTATTCGTTTTTGAATTACAACAAAATATGGAAATCGCTACATGAGAAATCGAGTGAATATCCAATGTTGTAAAAATTTGAATTTCAAACGCTCATAAAAATTTAATTCGACTTTCTTATAGAAATTTTTTTTTTGATAAAGGTAGATAATCTTATAAGGAATCTTGTATTACATTTTAAAACCTTAGATTTAAAAAGAAAAATTTTTACGAATTCTGAACTCAAAATAATTTGCTTATTTTCGTGATTTATAAATATTTTGTCAATTTTTGAACTTTAAATGCTTATAAAAAAAAAACTGTGACTAAGGATTTTTAATATTTTTCAAATACCATTGTAACAATATAGTAGGAGCCTTGTATTAAATTTTCAAGCTTTTAACTAACAAATAAAATTTTATTGATATTTTTAGAAAAAAAACTAAAAAAAATTGAAAATGAAAATGTGTCTAAACAGTTCAAAATAAATCAAAACATTTTGAAAATGTTATCGTGTATAGAAAATGCTAATATAAATATTCAGTCAAAATTTCATGTACCTACGGTCATTCGTTTAAGAGTTGCACCAAAAACCAAAATCGATTTTTTGGAAAACCGATTTTTCGTACAAATTCCCGTTTTTCCTTAATTTTTATGTTGTTTTTCCCTGCGCTCGTGAAAACTATTGGGAAATTTTCACTTTTGACCCCCAAAGTACCAACTAGAATCACATTCATATCAGAAAAGCTTATGTTGAAGAAAATCCAAGCACTTTTACTGTCCTAAAACGTAATGACAGACACAAAAAAAATTTAAAAAACACACATAATTTTAAAATCAATACATTCATACATTCATCGTTCCACTCAGAATCTAAATTTAATTTTGAAGAAAATGTCAAAATAGAATTTTAAAATATGTAATTACTTGTATGTATTAGAATCAAAAATGAAAGAAGTAGGCATATAAAAAAAAAATAAAAATATTAATGATTAAATAAGAATTATTATTTTATTTAGTACTGAAAAAGGAACTCGTTAATTTTCCTAAGAAACGACAAAGGAACTAAGTCTTTTTTTTAAGGAACAAGGAAAGGAACGAATTCCTTTTTATAAGGAACTTGCCAAACATTGAATTAAGTATTATACTTATACAGTACACACCTATTATACACAGGGACACAGGTTCCGGCAAAAAGATCTCCCGTAAGTATTTAGAGATGATTTATTTTTTATTCAATTGTATAAGTTCAACAATTTATTATTAAAAATTAAAATCAATAAGCTAAAGTATCAATATTTAAATTAAAAACCAAGCTATATCTAGGTAATTAATGACTAATGTTGAGATTTTGAGAATAAACTTGGAATATAAATTATTTTAGTATTATATTTATATAGGTATAATCACTTTCAAACGGCTACTGACTATAATATTTGGTTTTTTATTACTGTAATATTATTACCTACACCTATCCGATATGTATAATTCGTAGATACGTCACAGGGTTGAAGGGATATATAGGCAGTGTTAAATCCAGAACATTTTTCTGGGGAGGCTCACTTTTTTTTCATTGGTGAAGGGTGATACGTCATTTTAGTATTATGAATTATATCTATTAATAGGTAGTTATTCTTATTACAATTTATAATTTAGACATTTCAAGTTTAGATAAAACTACAAACAAATTATTTTATTTTAATTTTTAAATTAATCTAAGGTTGTCACACATTATAAATCGTATTATCTATTATTATTATTTATTGCAATTCAGAAATTATAAATATTCAAAAAGTTATAAAACAAATTATTAATTTTTAAATTTTTAAATCAATCCAAGGTTAATTTAAGGTCGTCACATATTATAAATTGTATTATTATAATTTATTACAATTCAGAAATTATAAATATTGAAAAAATTACAAAATAAATTAGAAACCTATTAGGTAATTATTTATTTTTAAATTAATTTTATGCGAAGAGTTTTTTTTCTTGCATATAAATCAATTGTTTCTTCAATGAACTCCTGAGGTGGGTCTTCTCCGCCTTCAATACTTATTTTCATACAATATTCCAATGTGTCTTGTCCCATCCGATTTCGAAGTTTTGAGTTTTTGACATAATGCGATTCATTGCACTAAATGATCGTTCAACTGTAGCAGTGGCAATTGGTATGCATAAAACTGATTCAGCTAATTTTCTTAAATGTTGGTAACCCATATTAACTTCAAGAAGGTCAGATATGGGGTTTCCACCAATCTCTTTTTTATTTAAAGCTACAAATTTAAAAGACTTGAAATCTAATATTATGCATTCTTTATCATATTCAGATATAGATAAACAGTCACACAATTGTATTGTGCATTTAATAAATAGGTACATTTTGTTGGAAGTCAGAACGTTGTATTTGTCAGGGAGGCGAAAAAAATTTCAGGGGGGGCGTTTGCCCCCCTCTGAAGTATACCTGGATTCAACACTGTATATAGGTATTTAGATTGAATGTATGATTGTAGGTACCCACCTACCTATAACCTATTTAATATTTTAATGAATTAAAAAATTGGAAATTTGGAAAATAATGGAAATAGCGTAGGCATAGGCGAAAATAGGGGGGGGGGCTTTAGGGGCTAAGACTTTAGCCTCCCCCCCCAAATTCCGACAAGGTCAATATTATATTTTTATAATACATTTTTTATGAAATGATATCGATAGTTTTTACTTTCTAATAAATGGTTTTGCTCAGATCTTAGAATTGTAAAATGTCTTAATAATATATCAATATGTTTCACTATGTTATATTGTTATTTGTTTTTAAGATATTATATTCTTTAATCCACAATGATTATACAATGATTATACATTTATAATAAGTTATACCCCTTTTAAGATATGCATAGGCAATAGAGTATGCAATCTTTCACCTGCCTTATCAGTTATCAGAACCAGAACTCAGAAGTGATAAGTTGGCAAGTCGCAAGTGGAATGTGAAAAATGTACGTGAGCACCGAGCTGTCTGTTTTGTTCTTGTAGTTTATACTCGTTACTTCCAAATACTATAGATAAGATAGATAGATCTATGGTATTTGCTAATACTCAGGTTTTAGTTGTAGCTGTACAACTTAATTTACTGTCTGCTAGTAAAAATAATAATTACAAAGCAGGTATGTAGAAAAATTGCTTTTTAGTAATTCGTAGTGGATTTAATAAATTGTCATTTACCAAGAATGTACAACATTCTAAACAAATTTCAAAGATGTCAAAATTAATGAATATTATGAAACATTCTTAAATCTCAACTGCAGCAATGACGTTTAGAAGCATAACTGGTAATAGGTCCAAAATATGTGCATTGCCAATACCTCTATTCATGGGCTTTTTTATTGGTATTATGTCAGTTTATACTTATTATTTGGTAATGAATTATGAAAACAACACAAAGTTAACTCCAGTTCCAGTTACACATTTTAACAGTCAAATAAAGTTGAATCATCGCCATTATCATCTAGTGGATCTAACAAAACCAACTATAAATCATAATATATCATTATTGTGTCTTATATTTATTAATGATATAGACTCATTACTTATGCAACACAATGTTTGGCTTGATAAATGTGGTAACAACAAAATGTATGTGAGTAAGCAACAGCACAAATATATTGGTCGTGTTATAACTGATACTTATTCTTCACAACCATGGAAGTATTACTGCCAAACTTTAATGTATATACATTACCAATATGATTATCATAACATTAAATATGATTGGATATTTTTGGCCAAGGATAATGTTTGGTTGATTTATGAAAACTTATTACATTTAATATCATTATTGAATGTCAATAAACAGAAACATAATTATTATGCTGGGCAATATATTAACGGTACATTAAATATCAACGCAGGTGTACTGTTTAATACGAATACATTAACAGCTTTAGTGCATTTAATCAGTAGTATGGATGGTTGTAACTCGGAAGTATCTAACAGTGAAAGTCAAATGTTAGGTGAGTATTACAAATAATTTGTGTTTTTTTGTAAAGTTTAATTTAGTGCCAGGCTTAGGAAGGTAGGACTCTGGGTAGTTGGGTAAACATTGACATAACCAACCTTTGATCTGATTCCATTGTCTAATTAAATAATAAATCTTGTATAACAAAATAATAAGGTACTATTATAATGTCACCATACAATTCAAGGCTGGGTACTAACGAGTTAAAAGTTAAAATCAAGTTAATTAACTTGTTACTTTTTTTCAAATTAATTTTTAACTTACTGAGTTAATTTTTTTTTAAGATTAACGTGTTAACTTCAAGTTACTTTTACTTCAAAAGTATCCAAATTAAGTTAATTTTTGTCCGAGAATAATGCAAATTTTTGAATGAGGTTTTACTTTGATGTATCATTTTAAATTTCTACAGTAATTTTCTTGAGCGTAAAGAAAAATTATCTAATAAACCATATTATGTGTCTGGAATTTTTTATTTTTGCAAATTAGGAAATTTTAACTTTACACTAAGTTAAGTTACTTTTTTTCAACTTTCAAACTTTAACTAACGAGCTAACGAAAAAAATACTAGTTACTTAATTTAACTCAATTTTATTATTTTATACTCCGTGTAAACCTTATAATTAACACGTTAACATAATATACTAAATAGTTTAAAATATTCAACTACCTCACTATGTGGTTAGGTTATTAATGATCATTAAATCAAATTTAAATAGTGAAAACTTTTTATCTAAAGAATACAATTTAATTTGGTGAAAGTGTTATAGTATCTTTAGGTACCTTCTTTTTGATCTACATACCCAGATAGAAGACATTCATCTTATCAAAATTGTCCTATTTAAAAGTTTAACTGTCAATTAGATATTAGAAGATACCATCAGGATTTAATATTTTAAATATCATTATATATATAATTCTACTGTACGTGTGTTGTGATTGAACTCCTCCTAAACGATTGGACTGATTTGAATGAGTTTTTTTGTATGCTTTTGGGTGACGCCCCGGATATTTTAGATTCAAAAGTCATCGCCATAGGTCCAACCAGGGGATGTGCTCAAATAGGAATTTAGAGATTTACGGTGGAAATTTATGTTTATAAATGGTCACCATGGGTTTTAAAGCTATTATAATAATAATTATTGTTGCCGTAAAATCAGTGTATTCATTCAATACATTTAATTTTTTGTACGCTGTGTTTTGATTTTATATGTATCTCAATTATGTAAATATTGAGTGTATTATACTCACATATAAGTTATATACATAAAAGAATCCCACGTCTTCGTGGATGAGGATGAAATATTGGTCGACAGACTCGGCATTCACAATTAGTCTAGCCGCTTAGGAGGAGTTCAGTGACATACTTGGTATAACTTTGATACTTTAGAGTTAAATTATAAGTTACGTACAAACAGCACGGGGTCCGTGATCTACCTGATAATATACTGCTGCGAATCAGAATTTTTATCCCAGGCAACAGAAGAATTAAGATAAATTTTGAACACAATACACCGAATATTAAATAATGAAATTGAACAATGTTTGAGTCATATAGAGTTGGTACATTTAACGGGAAACAAAGTGCACGGGATCAGTTAGTGTTATATATTTTTCTACGCAAGTATAAGATAAGCGTCTCTAAATCTGGCACCATATAAATGCAAATTCAAGGCTGGGCCAAACTGGTCATTAGTTTTATTTTAGCGAAGTTAAATCTGAAAAAAAATTAATTGAATAATTTAAGTAAAATAAATTTTATTTCACAAAAGTTAAAACTACTGAATTTACTTTAAATGTATTCATATGCCTAGCCTTGGATGAAATTGAAGATAAGTACAGTAATTTTATTTGCTTTCAATAGATTATTATTTAAGAAAACTGAATAATGTTATACCAATTAACAATATGGATTCATACGGCTGTACCTTGTTTCATTCAATAAATCTTTTTAAAAGTTTTAATGTAAGAAGCTTGAGACCTGAAATACTTGATGTACGTAAGACAAACAAAAAAATATATTTAACCTACTACATAGAAATAATATTTTATACTTAAATAATATTATGTTTTACAGAAATGTATGAGTAGATTTGCTATTACATTTCAAATAGACTTATCTTCAAAGCACTATGCAATGTTTTACAAGTATGTCTTATACAAAATCAGATTAGTAACCAAACAAGATCTAATGTCTAATGCTAAAAGAATTATAGCAGAACCTTCTCCAGAAGATATAAATGTGAGTTAAACTATTATCACTATTTCATTATATTTATTAATTATCTATTTTTGGTTATAGATTTGGAGGAGGGAAACACTTTATGAATTAAATTACGACCCTAGTAATACGTCACAAACAGATTTTTTTTACAACTGGTTTAAGAAACGTCAAATCATATTATAATTGTTAAGTTCTAACTATTTTAATTTATATACATTGGTTGTGGTTTCAGTGGTATGGTTAACTAAAAATGTTTCAATTTAAATTATTCTTATCCAATTTTCACCAATAGTTATTGGTGAGAATTGGATAAGAAGTATCCTCAGTCAATTTATATTAAACATTTCGCTGAAAATAAAATTTGGTTCACAATACTGTTTTATGAAATGCCGTAATTACTCTTTATATTATTTTTTTTCCATACCATTGCAATATTTAAAAAACAGGGTATTTGAAATACATTTTTATAATTTGTATTTTTAAGTCAAGTATTTGTAATTTGTAACAGAAGCATACAACTAACTTCTAGTCTGTAAATTCTAGTGAAATTTTGCAGCTATTTTTAGTTTTTTGTAATTATGTTTGTTTAAAGAAACAACTGATCTTAAAATCAATTGTATTTTGAATCTAAGGTATTTAAACCTATATAAAATGATACTTAATTATTTTTACATGTGATGTCATTACATACATATCATTTACATTAAAATTTTAGACAATTTTGTAAATATTATTTTAAAGCTTGTGTAAATTTAAATGTTATTTTATTTTTTGGTTCGTGTGTGTGAATTTATTTCATAATTTTTTTTTTATTTTGTATAAACTTTGTTATGTTATAGTATCTGAGTATTTAAAAAATAAAAATATAAAACTGGATTTGACTTGTCAGTAAATTGGCAGAACCACAGAACATATAATACAAAATTTAACTACAATAATATACTGATTGCACACTGAGTATAATGTAATACTGCTATATTATACTAATATAGATTTTCAATTACGACATGCTATTAAAATAACTAGTTTTCAGATCTGTAAGAGTGCTATGTGATTTTTTTTTATTTTTTATTCTTTTACATTTGTATGAAACAAATTAAATTATTTTTGTTTACATTAGGTTAAAAAAAAAAAAAAATTAAAAAAACTGATTAATACATGTATACCTATAATATTTCAAAAAGTGCTTGTTTTTGAAAATATTTTTTTATGTAATTAAATCATTATAAATCAATATTTATGAATAAAAATGTAATTTTTTACTATTTTTATGGTTATCATTTTAGATTTTCAGACGAATGTATTGATTTTAAAATAATATTTTTTTCTATTTTTATCTTTCTAAATGAAAAAATGGTCTGATTATCATTCTAATAGAAAGTGTTTCAAACAAAAAACCGCATCATTGTAAAATACTAAAATCAATACATTCAGTAATCAGCACCTCCCCTTAGAATCTTTTACAACCATTTGTTAAAACTTAAATATTATTAAAATAACCGTGTTTGGGAACCATGGTTACAAAAAAGTTGGATCGTCTTCACTAAGAATTGTTTGTCATCATAATTTACAATGATTTAATTTAATATTATATTCATTGAATTCAAATTAGGTAAATTCTACAGTTACTGTAAAACAGAGCGGTTACCTACTTGATGGCATTTTTGTTTAAAATTTTTATTTTTCAAATCACATTTTTTTTACTGTCCCAAATTTTTAAATTTGCTAAATCTAAGTTTGTCTGTTTAGCTTTAACATAAATTGGATTGGGTTTAACTTGTGTATGTATAGGCGTAAGCATGCGCAGAATTTCTGGCAGGGTAGTCATACACAAGTACATAATACATTAACACACACACATATAACATAATATATATTCAAATTGACACCTAGGTTATAAAAACTTATTTGGATGGGGTATCATCATTTAACTACATTTACCATACTAAAAAAGTATTTTATGATTGACTATCAATTATGACAATATTGAATATTGAGGGCGGAAAGTTTGCAGAGTAGTCAAGTGTCTCTACCAGTCTACCATGATTACCTCATGCACACGCTTATGAAAATAAATAAATAAAAATTAATTGTTTATAAATGACTTGCATATATACAGTGTTGGGTAGTAACGTAATGCAAATTACAAATTACTTTTGCAGTAACGCTGTAGTAATTTCATTATATTTTATTTAAATTAAAGCGATTGTAACAAATATTAATTTGTATAAAGGAATATATATATATATACATATATATATATATATATATATATATATATATACACATAGGAATTAATACTTATATATTTTGTTCATGTATAATATTAAGTCATTTACAATGTATCCTTTTTTAGATTCTGAGCGGAACGAGGAAGCTAGTGGTATTACAATGGTGTTTATTTATTTATTTTTTTTATATCCTGTATACAAAATTTCTACCAGAAGGAGTGCTTTTATTTCAACATAATAAAGTCCCTTATCTTTTAGAAAATTGGATCAAGATGGTACTATAGAGAGGTCATTTTTCGATTTTCTCAATAGTTATTTAATGCCACGGGAAAAACTGCTGACAAATTACGAAAAACAGCTTAAAATGGGATTTTAATTTCTAACGATTTGTTTATCACTGTAAACGAATAAAAAATTATAATATTATAATATTAATATTCTACTTAAAGGCTATAATAAATAATAAAAATTAAAAAATCCAGACTGATAAACCGTCTCCGCTCAGAATGTTTTTCTTATACAATATTATATCATTAAATTCAAGTTTAATACAATCCATTATACATTGATCCACTAGTAACCTACTATACAGCAGAGCGACATCCACTAACCCACTTTTTTTGTACTGTACTTATTATACGTAATGTGCGGATTTTGTAATTATTTTTAAAAATAAATTAGCAACATAATGTAAAATGATAAAAATAATGTTGGGTAACACGAATGTAATTTAAATAAAAATATTTAATGTAACAAGTATCATAATTTTATTATTTTTCAAAAGTAATTTACCCCAACACTGCATATAATATATCATAAGCGGAATTTTGGTGAAATTACTTGGGGGGTCATTATTTGATCATTACACATATAGGTACTATACTACTGTATTAGAGCCACTCAAAATTATTTATTTCAACAAGACAATTTACAAAGTTTGACATACTTAACAATTTAACCATAATAAAGTACAAAAACAATTAGGTGCTTTATCTTAAACATTTTAGAAGTATTCTATACTGTGTTCAACGAGAGAACGCACTGCACACCGACCAAAACTGGTTCCCCCACGCAACACCCTGCCGTAGGTTTTGATAGCAGTGTGACGCGGGGGGATGTGCAGAATCTGTGCGTTCTCTCACTGAGCAGAGTATAAATAGAAATTATTAAGTTATTAAATTAGTTGAATTATAACCAATGGTGGATTTAATGGTTCAAATAAAGTCAGAAAATCCATAAGAGGGTCCTAGTACAAAATGTATTTGTAACATACTTACTCCCATTTAACTAAACCACTCGCTTCGCTATAATAATGATCAACAAATATTCATTTTATAGCAACAAATTATCTAATTCAAAAAAGTGTTTACATTTTTTTATTTATTTTCTACAAATAAATAAGTTTATTGTGGAGATACTATGTGTCAATGTAAAATGGAAATAATAATTAAAATAGTTTGACAAAAAAACCATTAAATTATAAAAAAATGTGAAGCTATACAATTATTCATTATATTATAACATTAAAAATATCAAATAATTTTTTAGATATAATAATCAATTTATTATAAAATGTGTAAAACATTTGTTAAACATTCAAATACATAATGAGAAACAAAAATACTTAAAATTTGTCGTTATTTAGTTACATTAAAATGTTGAGACCCAGGGGTGCTAAGATATGTACTTTAAACTTCTGGTAGGGCTTAGTCCCCTCAAGCTTTCCCACCCCGATTTTCGTCTAAGATATATATATACAGAGATGAATTTTTGTTTATAGTATAATACTAATAAAAAACATAAACAACATTATAAAATGACTAAAATACGATACTCGACTCCAAGGAGCAAACGATTCTTGGTAGGTAGTACTGTAAGAGTTGCCTACAGACATATCAACTACTGAACCAAGATAAGCTAAATGTATAATGTTTAAAATAGTAAACATGATGTTAATACTCCAAAAGAACCAGTTTTTTTGGTTTGAGCTACTTAAATATGTTTTTGAACCATGGTGGGGATATATGTTTTTATCATAATAAGAAAATTTGTTTGGAAATCTTGATGCCAATTTTGTACGCATTTGGTGTTCTACATATGTATAAGCAGCAAGAGAAAGTAACACAGCTGATAAACGTCGTTCTAAGCCATGTAATAGAGAGCTTACTAAATATGTGGTCCCAACAGCAATTATTCTGTTTCGATGTTTTTTATTTTTATTGCCATATTTCAGTATTTCTTCAAATACATCTAAATAAATAAATAACAAATATATTATGTTTAAATTAATTTCCATATTAATTACAAAATATTATTAGCAACTTACATTTTTTTAACCAATAATGCATTGGTGCGTTCCAATGTACGACAACATGTAGAAGAGATCGTGGCCATTCCATAATCAATGGACGGGTTACTAATATTTCATTGTTGTATTTATGGTGGTACCCACAAACAGTTGCAAATACTGTAGACGCATAGGCTACAAAATAATGACCAGTACGGAACTCCAAAGCTTGTTTGTACATAGTTAGAAAAATGTTAATAATTGAATTGCTGTAACACAGACTTATAATAAATTAAAAATTAAATATAATTTTATTTAAATAAATCAAACCTTTTATTATTGGTCAACAAATATTGGCTGAACAGCCAATCCACAACACAAATTGATAAGACAAAGCAAAGCAACGAAATTATTACTTTCCATATCAAACGACAGACTTTTGTCTTGTTCTTAAATGAAAAAAAAAGGTATACAATACAATTTAATATTTAAGAAAAAAAAATAATGTATTACCCAATTAACAGATGAAGAAAACGCATTTGAGTATTCTTGAAATGTTAAAAATGGACCCAGATAAACAGTGCCTGCACACATCATGTAACCTGTATACTGAGGAACCGAAGGAAATGTACACAATTTATTTGATTGAATATCAAATAATATTGCCATTGCTTTCATTGACATTAGCATATGAGCACTTTTGGTTTTTTGCCATTTTGAATCATTTGTAAAACATTCACTGAAAACATTTAAATTTCTAATAATTTCTTCTTATGAATATGTTATTGCACCATTTGTTTTCTCTCTGACCTATAAGTAGCATAACCAATTTGCATTCACTAGAACCAATTTTATGTTGTTAGTTTTAATGTTATAGTAAACTCATATTCTATCAAAATACAAGTTAAAAAAATTATCAATCTTTTAATGTTGGCTTTTTTATATTAAATTTGTGTGCAAGATATATGTATATAAAATATTCAAATTTAAAAATGTTTATACATCACAGAATAATTGAAATATTTTAATAAGCAAATGTACAAATACAGAAAATGTTCTGATAATAGGTAAATTCATTCTAATTATAATATTAAAGATAACAACACAAGATTGATTCTGATGAGTGCAAATTTGCTATATTGTGTATAGGCCAGAGAGAGAAAATAAATAGTGAGCTGAAATCATATTGAGACTAAAATATCGATTTTTAGTATAATTTAATGTTAAATACATTATATAATGTTAGTCTAAAATGATATACCATTATTTTAAATTCATTAGATAAAACATATAGGTAAATACTTTTATTTTAATTATGATATTAGAGAAGAAAAAAAGTTTATAATTTGAATAATAAATTTGTATATTAACTAAACATTTATCATTTTAGAGATTAAACTAACTTAAATAAGTTATTCAATTTCAAATTAAGTATACCATATAATAAATGTACTTAAAATCTATTATATAATATATTCATTAAGAGTATTTTATTTTGTTTCGTGTTATAATATGATATATATTTAAATAAATACTAACTCACCGATAGAATAATGTAAATAGGATTATAATAGAGAACACAATAGAGGAATGACGTTTTAAAGTCAATATACATATTATAGACACTATGTAACAGAACATAGGGTACAACACAATTTGTAGTAATAATTGATATAAGTCTCCATCTTCATGAAATAAAACTAACGGTAGAATACCACAAATGGCGCACACTGTGTGCAAGACTGCTTCAGGAACCACTTTGATTTTATTGCCTGAAACCGAGTTATGTATAAGAGCTTGCTGAAAAATAGTTTTAACATAATATGTCTTGCTTACATATAACAATGAATAATCTGAAAAATATGCATAGAATAAGGGTAGTTCCGAGTAGATTTCCAGTACTCCAAACAGCGGGCACCACACATTGAGTGCACAACTGGCGAAAAGTTAGATTGCTCCAAAATGAGGGTTCACTATGAATTTCTGAATTTATATTTGGCTCATAATACTGATTTGCATCTTCTAACTGATCATCGTACAGCTCATAGTAATCTGGTTTTTGCGAATTTTTAATTTTTATTAATCTCATTAAATACCTTTGTTTACTTCATAATAATAGTAATAGTACGTTACCCTCTGAGTAGTAGTCTTCGGCGTAGTTGTCACCACCGTAAGACACCGAAAACTGTTGCCGGTCCATATAGTAGATTATAATACTTTTAAAAACATAATATATAATAAAAAACTAACATTTAAGTATATTTGTGTTCTATATCGTTAGAAGTTTCCTTTAAACACTAGAAGACTGGAAGAAATGTTTTCACATAGTTACTAGTTAATAGTTTTGGCTGGTTTTATTTTAAGTTTAAAATTTATAATTTAAATTCCAGGAGGCCAGTAACTTATTATCATTTATACAATTATATCTACCGCCGTCCGTAGAACATATTATTGTAACCATAAACATAACCTAACCTACCCAAACGTAGTAACGTCCTTTTAGTATGGCTGTAGTTTATGATTGTAATCAAGAAGTCTTATTAATATATTATTGAAGTCTCCATTGGAAATCTGATCATGACAGACTGAGTACTATGACAACATTGTCCATATTAATTAATAAACCATTTTTAAATCATAATATTATTATTATTATTATGTCATATCACTAAACCCAGTATCAACTATCAAGACAAAATGAAGTCTTATTATTATTATGTGATATGATATACATAATATTAATAATAATAATAATAATAATATAGCAATATTATGATTTATGAAATTAGTGTCTACTGTCTAGAACACTAGCATGAACTGATATAGGTACCCACCTAATATAAATTGTATTTAATATCAATTATGAATTAATAATATTATTATTATTAATATATTATAATTGTGTACACGGACCGCAATTTAAGATTAACCAAGCTAGTAGCTACCAAGGTGGATTTGGTATTAACCCTATTAATTTCGAGGCACGGTGGATTGATATCACGAATTATAATACGGATAATATACGTATCGATATAGTGATAACTTATAACCAATTGTTAAATTAACTAGGTACTTACCTACACCTAATTACTTATGCGTTAATAAAATGTAGATAATTTGTACGAATATGCATATTATCATTTATGTGTGAACGCATATTCTTACAAGCTACCTATACGAATTATAAAAGGGCATGGTCAGTAAATTTTAAATTTGATATATTTTGTCAAAATTCGAATTAAAAATGCTTATTAAAAAAATGTGTGCCTATGTATTTTTAATATTTATCAACTGCTATTGTAACAATACATCAGGAGCCTTTGTATTAAATTTTCATGCATTATTACCCAACAAATAACATTTTATTGATATTTATAGATTAAAAACTAAAAAAAAATTGGAAACTGAAAATGTCCGTAAACAGCTCAAAATAAATCAAAATATTTTTAAAATGTTATGGTGTATAGAAAATGATAATATAAACATTCAGTCAAATTTTCATGTATCTGCGGTCATTTGTTTTAGAGTTAGGTATTCGTAAAATTGGTTGTAAACTGCTCAAAACGAGGCAAAATATTTTCAAAATTGTATAGTGAATAGAAAATGCTAATATAAACATTCATAATTATAACATATAATTTTCATGTATCTACAGTTATTCATTTTAATAAGAAATTCGATACATAATATGAGAAATCTAGTGAATATCCAATGGTGTAAAAATAACTATATGAACTTCAAACGCTCATAAAAATTTAATTTGATTTTTTGCAGACATTTTTCTTAGATAAAGGTAGACAAGCTTATGAGTTATGACTTATGAGTAATCTTGTATTACATTTTAAAAGAAATTTTTTAGGAATTTCTAACTCAAAATAATTTATATATTTTCTTGTTTATTATGTATTTTGTCAAGGTTTGAACTTTAAATGCTTATAAAAAATTGATTATTACGTATTTTGTCAAGATTTGAACTTTAAATGCTTATAAAAAAAATTGTGACTATGTATTTTTAATATTTTTCAACTGCCATTGTAACTATATATTAGGAGCCTTGTATTAAATTTTCAAATTTTTTTACCCAATAAATACAATTTTATTGTATAGAAAATTCTAATATAAACAACCAGTGAAAATGTCATGTATATATGGATTTTTTTTTATAGTTACAAATATATCGATTTTGTGTAAAAATTCCCGTTTTTCCTTAAATATTTGTTAAATTTTTCCTAACCCTTAAACTCTTAAGACGATAAATACTACATATAGTTATATAAAAATAGACAAAAGTATATTAGATATTATTGTCAAAATAATAGGTACTTCGATTTTCAATTAAAAAAAAAATAAGAAAATACGGGAATTTTCAAGCAAAATTGTAACGGTAATCGTAATTCTTATTTTGAACTGTTCACTGACATTTTCAATATTTTTAGTTTTTTTTCCATAAATGTCAATACAATTTTATTCGTTGGGTCAAAATGCTTGAAAATTTAATACAAGGCTAATATATTGTTGTAAAATCAGTTGAGAAATATTAAAAAAACATGGTCACAAATTTTTATTATCATTAAAAGCATTTTAAGGCATTGTCAAATTTTGACAACATACGTAAAAATCACGAAAATCTGTAAATTATTTTGAGCTAGAAATTCATAAAAATGTGTCTTTTTAAACAAAAGATTTATAAATTTAATACAAGATTCCTCATAAGTTTGCTTATCTTAATAACCTAACTGGAAAGTCAAATTAAATTTTGTAGTTAAAAATTTATAAAATCTTCAATTTGTATAGGTGAGGATTGAAAATTTAAAACAAGGATTCTTATGAATAATTCATACTGTAATCAAAAAATCTAAAAATTATAAAAACATAGATCTTTTTTACAGACATTTTAAGTTCAAATTTTGACAAAATTAGATATAAAACAGATAAAACCAAGAATAAAGTTTTAAGTTACCTACTTTGTTGTAATTTAAAAATATTATTCGAAGGTAGGTACTTCTTTTAGAGTATATTATTATATTTTATACACATAATGATATTTGAAAAAATTAATTTAACCTACTGTAGTATCTACTAATGCCTTATAGTAAAATAAATTACTTCGATCACAATAATATCAACAAATATACTTATAGTAGGTACCTACCACTTACCAGCTACTTAATATTATAAGCTGACCGACAGTCTTAGCTCAGGATCGTTTTTCTTATACAATGATTTTATATCTTTGAAGTCAAATTTAACACATCCATTACAGTGATTCTCTATACCCTGTTCAAAATAAGAAGCGACCTGATTTACGCTTGAAAACCGGTTTTACTAGTGGCCGCCTGAATCGCTTCTTAAAATGAACAGACTATAGAGTCTAGAAGCCTAATACACAGCAGAGTGCAGACTACAGGCCCGTCGCTAGGGCACAAACAGATTAGGTCATTGCCTAAGGGAGGAAACATATTCAATGAAACTGGAGAGGCATTTTTCATGATAGAAAATTCGTTGTATTAAAATTCACAAGGAAAAAATTAAACAAAATCCAACAAACATTGATTGACAATCAATAATCCGAAAGCGGAAAATCACGTTTCAAAATAATACTAGTTATGTAAGTAAGAGCAATGAGTATTTTAGTAGATAGGTACCTAACTATTATCTTATCTAATGTAATTAAGATTTAATTTACTTATAGAAATGTTATAAAGATATAGGTAAATTTAGGTAGAATTTTATAAAGAATACCGTCAAAATGGGTTCTCCAAAGTTAAAATAGCTGCAATGGAAATTGCTCTATTAATAGAAATACCAGGACAATTTCTCTAAGAACATCAAGTACGTAAACGATTAAAAAAATAAATACATTTCAGCTATGAAAACAGAGATTAACGCCTCGTCATAATCCAGAAAAGAAATTTGAAATAGAGTTTTCCACACAATAATACTATAATAGACATAACATTGCAAGATTGATTTTATCTGTTGAATCATCATTGTTCAAATTTTGGATTCTTCTTTGGATTCAAAAACTGGGAGTACAAAACATTATAAAATCATTGAAAAGATTTGGCTATTTTATTAATAGCAAATGAATCATCTTATATCAACACAATGGTGATATTTGAAGAACTAAAAATGTTTTGTCAACTTACCGAAGCAAATAGTTTTCCAAAAAATATCTTGGGCTCAATTATAACAAAAAATTGCAAGAGATTTCCTCCGATATAACGATTAGTATTATTTATATTTACAATTTTAATATTATTATAACTATAATTATTTTTATCATTAGGTATAATACGTTTATTAGTTTATGGAAATAATCAGTGTTGTAAAGTATTTGAGTAAAAGTATTTGAGTAAAAGTATTCAAATACTTTTTTCCGTATTGAATACTTTTTCAAATACTTTTATTTTTGAAGTATTTGAACGGTATTTTAAATACATTTTTTTACTATTGAATACTATTTTATTGAATACTTTTTTTATTCCTTCAACTTTTTATTCATTGTCAAATAATAATAATGTCTTAATAATATTATAATATATATTTATCATTTATGAACAATTCTATATTGGTTTTAGTTTTCGTCTATTAATAGCTAATTAATATTAGTTACTCTGAGAAACCGTCTGTTTATCGTCGACACTAGACGACGATCGGAACGGTACGTTTCGGTACCTACTACCTACCAATATAGTATATTATCATAGCGAAATATAATACGAACATTAGGTAGGTAAGGTATGTCGTATACGTACGTATTTTTTTGTTTTGTATTTGAAAATTATTTCAAATACTTCTAAAAAGTATTTGAGTAATACTCAAATACTTTACAATAGATAGTATTTGGGTGGTATTTTAAATACTTTATTTTATAAGTATTTGAGTAATTACTCAAATACTTTTTAAAAGTATTTTTTACAACACTGGAAATAATAATATTTTGCTTAACTTGTTGAAATTTGTTAAATAACCTACAACAATAATTTAAAATTAAATTTGTAAAACATTATTCATTATATTATATTGTATTAAATTGTGTACTATATTTACCCTTTTTTTACTTTTATAATATTTTGATTCCAAACCATAATATGAACCGATGATTAGGAATAATAGTTCTATGTTCGAAACGACGACAGTATAGATGTCGCTGCCATTATCATCCGGATATAATAATCAATCCCGACACGTTGCTTACCATATTTTATCTTCCGGATAGAAACTTAATTTTGCAACTATAGTCTTTTGATTTTTGAGTCTATATTATTTTATTATATTATTACCGGCTACCGCAATATCGTAATAATATCATAGCTAAATTTTATTTTCAAAATAAGTTTCATTAAGTAAATACAAGTAGGTACTAATAAAACTAATAAATTGTAAAGAAGTTTAAAAATGTTTTATTGATCATAAAAAGCTTATGTTATGTTTATACTTTCATTATATTGCATTATTGTAAATATTAGGTATAGGTAAAATAAACTACAATAGGTACTTATAATAATACATAGTCATAAATAGTCAGGTATAAAGGGATGGGATTTGAAATACAATTGTAATATTTTGTGTTTAATACCTACTTACCTAGGTACCTATTTACGGAGTGTTTCTCCGACTTTTTCTTAAGTAGGTATTCAGTCCTTATTTACTAGTTTATGACAAAATCGATTGTTTTTTTTTTTTTTTTTTGGAGGTAACTCAAAAACAAATAACCGTAGATTACATTTTCACTAAATGTTTATATGACCATATTCGATGCAAGCATAAATGTTCTTTCTTTTAGCTTTTTTTCTACAAATAGTTATTAAAATATTTCGATTGGGCCTAACGGCGTGAAAATTTAATACAAGGTTTTTCATCATAAGTTGCTATAAATTATAATACTAGATAAAAATGATTAAACATATATAAATAGACACAATTGTCTTATAAGCGTTTAAAGTTTAAATGTTGACAAAATTCTTCATAATTATGAAGAAGTGCATATTATTTTGAAGTTATAAATTTATAAAATGTTCTATTTACCTATATATTATACTATTATAGCCAAGGATTGAAAATATAAAACAAGTTTTCCCATAAGTAGTTAATATTGTAACCAAATAATCTAAAAAAAACCAGCTAAGTGGGTGTCGCTCTGCTGTATAGTAGGCTACAGTAATGGATGGTATTATATTTGAAATCAATGATGTAATATCATTGTATACAACAACCGATTATGAGCAAAGACCATTTGTCAGTATAGGGTATTTTATATTTTATTTATATTGTTATTACTTATTGTTAATATGGTAACCGGTAAGTTGAACTAATAATTATAAAATTACAAAAAAATAAGTAAAATCATTATTCTTGGTTATTTAATATGTAATTTTGTCCAAATTTTAACTTAAAATAATAATAAAAATAAACTGTTTATGTATACTTTTTAGATTTTTTGGTTACAGAATTAACAACTTACGTGCAACCTTGTTTTAAATTTTCAATCCTTATCTGTGAAAGTTGCACATTTTATGCATTTTTAATATCAAAATAACTTATACATTTTCAGTATGTTAAGACTTATAAAAAAAAATCTCGCCTATGTATTTTTAATATTTTTAAGCTGATATTATAACAATGTGTGAGGCACCTTGTATTCAATTTTTATATTGATAAAATAAACATACGGCGTAAATTTAAAGTATCTACAGTTATTCGTTTTTGAATTACAACAAAATGAGAAAATCACTATTTGAGAAATTGAGTGAATATCCAATGCTGTAAAATTTAAACTTCAACCCTTAAAATAAAAAGGCACCAGTTTTTTAAATCTTCCACCTTCTTTTCTAAAAAGTGAATATAATTGGTATTTTTGAGAAGTCAAAATTGAAAATTCCCAGTAATTTTTGAAATTGTCGGGAAAAACAAAAAAAAAAAAATGAAAAAAATGGTAATTTTTAGTTTTTGAGTTAGACTAAAAAATAAGATGGATATTTTTAAAAATTGGTTTTGCATAAAAATGATTAATTTTTTTTTTGTTTTTCTGAAAATTTAAAATAGGACCATTAGTGTTACTACCCCATAATTATAATGTTGATACTATGTTGATGACAGACGGAAAAAAAACACATCGCTCCACTCAGAATCTAGAATATTATTCGTGAGACATAAAACTTTTAAGTAGGTATATTATAGAATTTCCTATAGGTATCTAAAATGTACCTACGTAAGGAAATTTTTAAATTTTTAAATTAGTATTACCATTATTCATGAGTTTATATTTACGCTGTTTTACAATATGGTGGTATTGGCTTTTAAGTTAATAACAATAATATGATAGGGGGACGAGGTGGCCGAGCGGTCGAACACGTCGTCTGCGACGCTGGCGGTTCGATTCTCTCGACCACTGGGCGGCATTTTTCTCCGGGCAAGTCACGGTGTCCGGAGAACAAGTGCCGCCATCCCTCACTCCGGGGCATGGCAGAAACCTACGGGTGCCCCAATAGAAATTCTGCCAAATACAACACACACGTGTAATAACCCTACAATTTCAAACCCTACTACCTACAATCATAAACCCTACGACCATAAACGCCGGGCTTTAAAAAAAGATTAATTAAAAAAAAAAAAATAATAATAATATGATAGAAATATATACTATTATAAGAGCTAAATAAAAATGCAATGTTATTGTAAACAATTAAATCAACCTATCTTAATACTTATGGTAAAATAAGTCTCTAATAGCAATATCATAAAACATATTATGAAATACATTTGATAGGGATTATAGGCTGACGATAATTTTCGTTCGGAATCTTTTTTTCGTAACAATGATCATTAAACTAACATTTAATACATCCATTAAAGTGAACCACTATCGACTCCTGCTTACCGTACAGCAGGGTGGTACCCACTTTCCCACCTTTTTATTATTGCTTTATGTATTAATATAATATGTATAGGATTGATGCACCTATAGGCTATAAATTATAATAGTCCCTAGGGCCTAGGCGTAGATGCACGTAGGTACCTTTTATATAGTTTCATGTGGATTCTTGGTGGGATTTAAATTGCAATTATGTTTGGATGCATAACTGCGTTTGGGTGTACGAGTAGGTATACCAGTGTACTATGCAGTATATTGTATATTTGTATATTATAAAATAGATACGTCATTTTTCAAGCACCCTGTGTAATACTCACTTTCGAACAAATTAGTTATAAATATGGATATATGACGTCATAATAGTCCTAATAAACCATAATATACGTACCTATGTTCATAAATCATAATATTGTGTTCATGGATCATATCCAGTGGCGTATACATAACTTTTGTATGGGGGGGGGGGGGTCAGTTGCAAACAAATTATTATGGAACGAAAATACCTAAACCTAGGTATGTGCTCATTTAAATACCTAATAAATGATAAAACATAATATATATATTCAATACATTTTATTTTAAATTCTACAAGTAATTATAGAACAAAATTTAATTTTCTTTTTTTTTTAGTCAATAATATTTATTATTTAAGCTATTTTTAGCTTTCAATGAACAAATTACTGATAGCTATTAGCTCGTATGTTGTAGGTATATCCATGTTAGTTGATAATATACAAAATTGATAATGTTTTGGTATAAATGCGTAAAAACGATCGTGCAATAACCTTATATTATACCATAATAATATTTCTTTTTCTAATGTATAGGAAAATGTATTATTAATTATTATACGCACGGACATGCGGGCGTCGTCTCCGCCGCGTTGATATCGGTGACGGTGGCGACGGCCCGTGGCTGGTCTGCCACATATTATTATTCTTATAATAATTTATTATACTTGTATATGTAATATACATATTATCAAATATCACATAATACGATTATATGAATATGAAATAAATATAGGTATGATTACTGATTAATATTAAGTAAATTATTTTTAATTAATTGTTGAATATTGTGTTAAAATAAAAATTTACAAAAAATCCTTGCCATTTTTTTTCCTTGTAATTTCCTTACATTAATTCATTAAGAACACTATTTTATAAAATTTAAAAAAAGGCCTATGGGGGGATCTGACCCCCACATCCCCCCCTTGTATACGCCCCTGATCATATCGTTTAGTGCAACTTCCAATATGAATTAATAGTTTAATCAATATATATATATATATAATATATATACTATAGAATTATAGATAGGTAGTTCATAATAGTTGTCTTTAAATTGAGAACATAATATTTTATTAACTGTTAAATATCTTGTTAACTTTACATTATAGCTATTTACTACTTAAGTAGGTAACCAGGTAGATATTATGTCAGATACGTATATAGGTAGCCGTTGGCCAGTATATGTATACCTCACTTACCTCACTTCATTATTACTTGATAGTTAAACAATTTAACAATGTCTTATTGCAGAGGTTCAGAGGTATTCAAACTGTACATCGCAGCTCTCAGGAGCGTCGTGAGAGTGGGCGAAGCGAGCCGCGTCAAAGCACCAGAATCCAAAATTAATGTACGTCATGTATATAATATAAACATTATTTATAATCATCTAATCGATTATGGAAACGATAATAATTACGTGACTAATTTAAGTTTTATTTCTGGTACTAAAGTCACCTGTTATTATCACTGATATTGGCCATATTGTACCCTTACCTAATGTTTAAATTTTTTACAATAATTTGAGAGCTGCAAAAATATCGTGAACACACAAAGGAGTCGTGGGATGAAAAAGTGTGAATACCTCTGGCTTATTGTATTTATAAAAGTAGTTTATATTTCAGAACAAAAATTAAAAACAAACTGATATTTTTATTACTTATAATATTGAATTCAGCTAATATAATACTAACGTCCAGATAGGTATCAGATATACATGTACATGATATACCAATACTTTTTACGGATTTTATTTATATTGTTTATTTAACATTTTATAAGATTCTTATATTATAAATAACTAGTACAATAGTGTCTGTACATGACTAAAGTTTTTAAGAAATACAAATACATTACACGCGTGTATTATTATTCTACAAATACATTTTATTGATGATTAATTTTAATCTAAGCCAATGTCTGCGTTCGTCATATCTTGTTGCATTAAATAGTATTGATGGCGGTCATTATTGCCGTTTTCGCGACGTGTCGTAAACAACATGTCGTACAAGTCTTTTGAATTTCTTATAGCAGCCGGTTTGTATTGTAATTTATAAGCCTCCTCGTCTTCTCTGTTAATATTGTTAAGCACGCGTTGATGGTCGATGTACTGTTGTAACCTTGGTGTTGTGATGGCTGATGGGATGACTGGAAACGCAGGTTTCCTTTTTCCAAACCTAATTTTAGACAATATTTTTTTGATACATTTTATTATTTATATTTTGATAACACTGTAGCTTTTCATAATAACATTTAGGTAATTTGAACTCTAGATTTTATAATACAATTTATAATAAATAATAAAACATAATAAAATGGTATAGCCATTGTATGTATTTTAATTGTTTTGTTGGTTGTGTATGATTTAGGTAGGTTCTTAACACATAAAACTATTAGTATATATTATGATTTATGTTTGAATTAAAATATAAGAACTACTTTTTATCTTTGGTTTAGTCCTCTCAGTGGGGCCAAGTACTGATATGTGTATGAAATTAAATCCAAATTAATAAATGAATTAAATAAAATAGTTTAATAATTGAAGGCGTTGAAACATAAGTCAAACAAATTGTAATTACGATATTAATTTTCTAGATTTAATTGATACTACCGTTCCATCTATATAATGAATTATATGCCGTTAAAATCAAAACAATATGTGTAGGGATTCGTTTAATTAAATAAAGGTATAAAATATGAACTTACCTTGGACGAGAAACTACCGCCAAGTACTGTCCTAATTGGTCTAGGTACGAACGCAATTCATCTGGTGAACCGAAAGTTTTAGGTCGTGTAGGTCGAGCTATGCTTTCCACTTCAGTAGACGTCACGGGATGACAGCAACACGTTGTAGCCAAGACCATCACATAGATGACAAATCCAATGTAGACCACAACTCTGACCATGTTAGAATTATTATTTTGATGCATGGATAAAACGTTAGATGTAATTTATGTAACCACGTCTGAAAAAACTATAATAGTAAATTTTTAAACAAATATATATATTTTACATTACAAAATACAAATATAGTGACTTCTCCAAGCTTATAATGAAATATCGTACTATCGTACCATTTGTGTATTGTAAAATTTAAATAGCTCTGCATGATTAGTTGATAGCATAAATAATAATACCTAGTAAAAGATATATTAAATTATAGCATTGGCTATAGCCTATAATAGGAGGATATGATCCAAATTGTTGGTAAGTTACAATATGTTAAGATGTCTAAGGAGTCGTAATCATTAAAAAAAAGGGAACCTCTAAAATCGTCTCATGATTTATATAGTAAAGTTAACAAAATTTCATACAATATTATAAATAAAATATTAATTAATTAATAAATTCTTTAATTTTTTTTAACAACTGAATACAATCATAAATATTCATAACAAGAAATATTTAGTTAGTATTGGTTTGGTTATATCTGTTGGTCCTAGAAATGTATTTGTATTTTTTAAATGTTATTTAAATGTTTTATATTAAATAATCCAACTACCAAAGTATGTGTTAGTTATTTTTAATGGTTTTTGGATTTTGATTGTTGTTTTACTGTAATATTTGTACTGACGTATGTACATTGTCTTGTTGTGAGATGTAATAGTACTTGAACTTCGGCAAAGAATGGTTTCGGTAAATATATATCATTGAAAAATATAAATTTACAAATATATTTTTAAAATACAAATTTTATTTTTAAATAATTAGGTGTATTGTTATTTTATATTTAAAAAAAACTTGGTAAAGTAAAGTAAAATAAATTTAAGTTAAGTTTTTACAACTTTTAACTACCTAATTAGGAAATAAACTGTTTAATAATATTCTTATTTTAATTAAATAAATTACAACCATAATGAAAATAACAATTGTCATTTGACTAGTATTGTAATCTATATTGAAATATAAAAACAATAAGCTAAAAAATCCTAGACAAATAATTGTAGAAGAAAGCTCTTTACGCTAGTACAAAACGATTGTAGTAGAACATATAGATAGTGTAGGTACCAAATTATTTTTACTTTATTTCAAGAGTAACCTTATTGGAACTTTTATTAAATTGACATGTGATTTCCTTTCTTCAGTTTAAAATAACAGTAGGTAGGTGCAAACCAATTTAGTTTATTAACTACTATTTTGTGAGCACTTAGTGCCGGACTGATTTAGTCAACCGTATTCAAAAGTAAACTGTAATATTCACCAATGGTTTTTAACTCCTCTCAAATGATCTTATTTCTATTTTATTTTATTTAAAAATATAATAAAAATACTATATATATTAATATAATAAAAATATAATAAATACATATTTTTAAATTACATATTACAATTACCTATACCGTTTTGATTATTTTAATTTATGAATGTCTTTCATCGTCAATAAATTACTAATATCTACTAGGTAATAGATTAAAAAATGAAATAAAGAAAGCCGGTAAAGTCCGGTAAATTGTGGTGTACCAGGTACCTGTATTGACAGTATTATAAACGTATGAAAAAAGCCACTAAAATATTTTATACTTGGGTCGTTTTTTTAAAATAATTAAAAATTAGTGATCTATTAGTATTTTTAATTATTATGAAGCTTATTTTGCCACCGACTTTAATCAACGGACGCATTATTAAAGTAATATAATTATAGACTTTTGACGAGTATTTTATTTTATTGTTATGAACACAATACTTACTATTTACTATTGCTCTTAAGTCTTAACTAAGTTCTAAATATTATTAAAATTACTAATGATAGAAATAATTATAAGTGATAATGAATTCCAATTCACTACCTAGTAAATGTTATAAAAATATTCATAAATAATTAAGTAACTTGTAAACAGTTAAAACTAATCAAGTATACTTGCCCATCCCCCGATCCCTGACTACATGATCTGTGATACTTAGGTCTTAGGTTATATCTTATATAATAATAATTATGATAATTCAAAATACAACGAAACCCCAATAAATCGAAAACCTTTAATAAGTCGAAATAAGTGCCGTTTCCTTGCTTAATCTAACCTTAACAAGCCGACAACCTCGACAAGTCGAAATAATTTCATTTCACTTGAATTTCGACTTATCGAGGTTCCACTGTAGTTTTAAACTGATGAGGCCCTGAGGGCCTGAGCTAAGAATCTTAGAATCATCCAAGGAACGCCCCAAACTCAAAAGTCTGAACATGGCTATGGTTTTATTTACTGCCTCACTATTTGGAAATCGGAATAATTTATTTAACTACCTACACACTAACATAGTAAGTGTAATAACATTAGTTAGGTACCTATGGGTGAAATTATTAAAATATTAATAATATATTTAATACATTAAGATAATTACTTAGTCTAGAAAAATGCGTAAAACAGGTTTGTATAAGGTATGTTAAAAAATGCACAATTTTTTAAAAAATTTCGTGTACACTAAAATCGTGTTTTTAAATTTTATTTTAAAAAGCGTCCAAGAAATTAGTGGTCCATACAACAACAATATACGGCAGCGTTGTGTGAAAGTTAAAAATGCATAGGGGGCGCCATTTGAGACTGTTAAAAGTGTACGTATAGTGTTTACATAATAATCCCGAGAAAGAAATACAATTAAAACATGTCAACAACGACCAATACGTGCTAGAATAACAAATTAGTATGGTGACGCTGCAAACCAGATCAGATTTTTAGTATCGACATAGTTTTTTAAAATGGAAAGTTCTTCGTATGAATTAGTATGAGGTGTATAAAATGAGCTCAACTCAGACTAAGTATATATATTTTAGTTTGTGTCTAAACTCCAGTGATCAAGTATCACCTAAATGAAAACAATGATAACATATTCCAGGTTGGATTGAAATATTAAATAATTGAATATGAGGTGAAGGTATTAATTCTTTAAAAATAATAAAAAGATATCAATTATTTTTACAATACTCAATATTTTTTTTACGTTTTAAAATAATACGTGTAGGTACATATGTATTATTATAATATGTGTTATTGTTTTTAAATAATAACTACACTTTTTTTATTAATCCCAAGAGCATGATGCAAAAAACGTTGTATTATAGTTTA